CGTGGGACTGAGAAGGGAAAGCACTCCATGCATGGGAAATGGCCTATGCAAAACACAGAGATGGGAAATAAAATTCTGAAATCCAGAGACAGCAAGTTGTTCAGTGTGGCTCGATTATAGAGTGCATGAGGGGGAGTCACCGGAAATAAGTCTAGAGAGGATGGAACCACTTGGCTAAGGAGTTTATATTATGTCCTACAGGCACCAGGGAACGAGTGCCTCCAAAGTTCTGTTTACATTTGCTTTGCTTTTTAGCCGAGGAGTGGCAAAGTCAGATTTGTACCTGAAGTTGCTTTGGTAGCTGTTACAAAGATACTATGGAGAGAAAAAGTGGGAGAGAGACAAGGAGACTCGTTAGGAGACTTGTAATATTCAGGTTGGTGGTTATCAGGGCCTAAACTAAGATATTAGTAGGTCTTTCCTTTTAGTTATTCAGACTCTATAAGGTTTTTTTTTTTAAAGATAAGATTTGGACAGGGAGAGGGAGAGAGGGAGAGAGGGACAGAAAGAAAGAGAGAAAGAGAGAGAGAGAGAGAGAGAGAGAGAGAGAGAGAGAGAGAGAGAGAGAGAGAGAGAGAGAGAAAACTGCCTTTGGTTTTACACCTACCTGATGCATCCTCCACTTTAAAGAGGAAAATTTATTTTTAGGAGACCCAAGAAAACAAAATATTTCAGTTGTCTCTTCCTAGTTTTGCAAGAATTGGAAATTTTAGGTCTTGGCTACAATATACCCTAATGCCAACATATACCATTGCTTATTAAAAGATTCTTCTAGTACTGACTTCCATTTTACCTTGAAAGATACCTCACCACAATTGATCTTCAACTATGCCTTTAGTGGTTTGGCTTTCAGGTCATTTATTTCTTAGCCTCTTGATTATGCAATTAAAGGCCTATAAAGAAACACTTAAGTGTACCAAGGTCACTCTTTGAAAAGAACTCTGCTGTGAATTCATGTGTAATGTGGAAAATAACAATTACATTTCTGTAACCCTATTCTCCAGACCTTAAATGAAGAATAATTTCAGGCAATTTGTGTCATGATAAAAGCACACTCTAGACTCTCGAAAAAATAGTAGATCCCTAAGGAAGTGTGGCAATAAAATACTAAACAGAAGGTTATTAACTTATTTTATTAGGCTTTCCTTGCACTGGATGGGACAAAAGTTATAAAGTAAGTAGAATTAACATTCTTTACAATTTAATGGATATGGTTAACTCTTCAGTGGTCTAATGGTAGAAGAGCATTTGTAGAGTAAGATTACAACCCTGAAATGGATGGAGAGTAGGGTTCAGAGGAATGGTTGACTATCATTAAATAGAATTCTAGGTCATTCTCTGTTTAATATTGTACCATTAAAGTCAGAGAACTTTAGAGGTAGGAGAAGCTTAGGGATCATCTACTCCTACCACCCCTTTTATAAGTGAAGTGATTTGTCCAAGAGCCCACAGGACAGACGTGGGACTAAAACTCCCATCTCTCTATTCCCTCTCTGTCCAGTGTTGTCTCCAATGACACCTCTGTACTGACACAATGTGGTGACATGTTGTCCCAGATCATAGAGTAACAACTGAAATGACTGCAGTTTGTAAGATAGCTTTCATCCCAAATTAAAATCTTGTTGAGGCTAGACCAAAGAATGGTGGCCCTGGAAATCCCACTAGTTAATTTACTATAAAGCATATCAGGGGCATCCATCATGGGCGATGGGCAGAGAAAGAGATGCTCAACTTCCAATGATTTACTTTGTGGAGTATACTCTTTCTTATGTGCCTTTAGGCTGCTTTATTAGAGGTTAAGCTAGGGAATAGAGGACGGATGGCACCTAATTCTCGGTTTACTCTTGGGCTTCTAGTGCATCGGTCAAAATATTAATATTCTTTAATTATTAACTTATGTTCACAATAAGCCTGCTCCATCATTCATTGGTATAGTAGCTAAGCATTTTTAAACACTTTGCGGTTATTCTAAAGCCTTCTGCCACTGGCCAACTGTTTGTGCTTTAATGAAACATTCCATATTCCTTCTTATTAACATCTATTATTCAACAGCTGGTATACTTTATAGTTATTGGAAAAGGGAAAGAAACTAAAATCAATTCACCATAGCTGCAGAAAGACAAATTTAAGATCTCAGATCTCACACAATTTCTGTGACACGAATAGACTGAACTCACAGTATAAAATTTCCTTGTCACAAATCAACTAGTCTTAGAAGCAGGTCAGTCAGTCACCAAGCATTTATTAAGTGCTTACTGCGCACAAGACATGTCAGGCATCATCCTTGATTTGAAGGGTCTCAGGAGGGAGGGAATCAGGGAACAGATGTGGCAAAGCTAAAGAGCATGGTGTAGAGGAGGTAATAGAGCAGACCTGGGGAAACTGCAGGGAGCCAGGCAGGAAATATGGCTTAATAGAGTTGCCCTGGGGGTCTCTGAGTGGCTTCTCCTGGTCTTCAGGTTTCTCTTATTTACAATTTATTTTCTGTTTCCTCTCATCTGTTATATTGAGGTCTTCATCACTCACCTAAAGCATTTTCACAGAGATGGGAAAGGTACTGAGAAATGTTAGCTAGTTTGGGGACCAAACTACATTATCATTTCCTTCCAAAGAAACCTTACATTTCCATCATCAACCACTACAGCCTCTAGTCCAGAAAAAAGTTGCAATGAATCAAGTAAATGACTCAATTCTAAAACACGGTCCCCATAACCATTTTCCATTTTAATCTCAAGCTGGACTTTAGAATAGTAATGTTTCTTAAAAGGCCACCTTTCTATTCTACAGGCACAATTTATAAATCCAGTTAATTTGTTGTAGCAAATTATCCATGTACTCATAATAGGGTCCAGAACTGCACATGAGTGGGTATATTTTGGTAATTTATATTTTAAAATAAGTGGCTTAAGTATGCCTTTTCATTGCTGGCTGCACCCATATTAAAGCAATTTAACATAATTTTTCAGTATGCAATTTTGCCCAGTTAGGCCATCAACAGAATAAAAACAGCTTACACAAAACAAGATATAACCCTTCCCAAATTTAATGCCATATCTTTACAATTCAGGAAGAAAAGAGCTACGAGCTCTTGAGATAGGGATAAAAAGTAACCCAGGTAGTGTGGAAGGGGGCTCTGCAGGGAGGCCAAGCTTTGGCCTCTTGGTCTGTCTTATTCTCCCTGTTCTGACTCAGGTTTCCCTGTCATTTTCTTTCATAGCTCTTAGCTTTGCCTTCTATGTCTAAGCAGAATGAGTTCTCCCCCTCTCCCAAGTCAGGCCCTCAAACTTTGTAACTGTATCTGCTCCTGGTGAAACATCCCAGTGCCTTCCCTCAATCTCTCCTCAGATGTCGTGACCTCCAGGCTGGAGCCTAACATTCCAAATGTGGTCTGACCCAGGCAGGGAACAGCAGGACACTGGCCTCCCTTGTTCTGGATTCCCTACTGGACACCAGGGAACGCTGCTTCCTTACCTAAGGGTTCAGAAACCACCAGCTGAACAATTGAGGATTGATTGGAGATAGAGAATCAAAGCCATTAGTCTGTACTTGGCAAAATCCCCCTTTCACTGCTCTTGGAAAATTTTCACAATGTCTACTCCTGTTCAGTTCTGTGGTACCTCTTCCCTTCTCCCTGTTTCTCAAAGACCAATGAACCATTTTAGTTCTTGGTATAGAATTCTTTTATCTGGATCTAGAGAATTAAACTGATTTAAACCATTTTCCTCAGAGCCTTCTTAATGTATGCAGATTAATGCATTAATAGGAAAAACATAAATGATAAAGCAGCTAAGTAGGTAGACGCTCTTTCATTCTACCACCCACACTAAGCAAGCCACATGCCAGGCAGACGCTTACATAATAGACATTAATAAATGTTTACTTGAGTTGACCTGTCGAGCCTCCTTGTTCTTACTCTGAATGTAATTCTAGAACAGTAGTATGGTGTAGTGAAAAATACATTAGATCGGGATGTGTATCTAGGATCTACCATTTACTAGCTATGTGGCTTTGGGCAAACTACTTTTATCTTTCAAAGGTGCACCTTAGGCAAAATGCAGGAGATATTACTTACTTTTTCTATCTCACATGTTGTTGGGAGGGCCTAACGTACTATGGAAGTCATTGTCATAGACCCAGAGCTGGAAGGGACCTCAGAAGCCATTTAAAACAATCCTTTGGTTTTATAGATGAGGAACTGAGGCCCAGAGAGGTTGGTGAGTTCCCCAATGTCACACAAATATTAAGGAGCTAAACTGGGATTTGAACTCAGGCCCTTTGACTCCAAATCCAATAAGCTTTTCACTTGAACTTAAAAACGATTTTTAAAGCAATTAGTATTATTAATAAGCTTATTAGTTATGTTAATCTGCATTGGCAGCACATTGTGTTGAAAATTGAGTTGAAGTTGCAGGTCTCATTAGTGACTTTTAAGATCTACCTAACAAAGGTATTCTCTCCTTTTCAAGAGAGTCAGTTTTTTTTTTTTCCTTTTTCTTGTTTTGGCTAGGTAATGGGATTAAGTGACAGGGCCCAGGATCACACAGCTAGTGTCACGTGTCTGCGGTTGGATTTGAACTCAGGTCCTCCTGACTCCAAGGCTGGTGCTTAATCCACTGTGCCACCTAGCTGCCCTGAGAGACAGAGATTTTTAACTGCTGATTAGCTTGTGTTCTCCTCTGCAAGCGTGTCATTAGTCATTTTTTTTCTTTTTTGTCTGTGGATCACAATTCCTAAACTTGACATTTTCAGACTCCACTTTTACAGGCATTCTAAAAAGAAAAGAGTCCAATTGTGAGGCTTACCTGGCCTAAACGTTGAACTGAAGACATTTTTCTTTTATTTAACAGCCCAATTAACAGCCCTATTAGTGAAGGTTGGGGGGAGGGAGAAATCAGCTGAGGAATCAGAGAAGAAATGAGAACCACCAAGAGAGCAACAAGTGAACAAGAAGTGCGTGCGCCCGACGTGCAAGGTGACCCGCCAGGCCCCGGCACACCTACCACTTGGAAGGCTCCCGCCACTTTGACAGGTCGGAAGCCCTCGGCAGGCCCACAGCGATCTGCGTGGCCGTTACAGAAGCAGCTGCCCTTGACGATGAAATCATAAATGGCGTAATGTGTGAAATGCTGGGGTTTTGCGTTGAGGTTGTTGCCCTGGCAGGGACAAGGTTGGCGCTTCAGCAGCTGCACACGGAGGTTGGTGATCTTTAGCTGCTCCTGGGCTTTGGCACTGTACGGATCCTCAGCAGAATGTGGTGGGGACAGAGCTCTGTAGATGACCTGGCAAGAGAAAGGCATAGCAACTGAGCAAAGGAAAGGGATGGGAAAAGCATGAGGACAGAAGCACTTTGAATGAGGAGGCCTTGTGTATGCACAAAACCTTATTAAAAACACCGCCTCATTTGGCTAGCCTAGTTCTGGTTTGATTCATAAGGTTACCTATGACATCCGTAAATGGGATATGCAGGTACTGAAAGCTACAACTGTGGAGAGAATGACCACACGGATATTTGAAGGAGCGTATTTATAATAAGATTAAGATCTGGTAGGGACTTTAGGGCTCATCCCTCCAGTCCAACACACTTGTTTCACAGATAAGGACACTGAATGTTGTCTCCCACACTCGAATGTCAACTCTTTGCAAATGAGGATTATTTCGCTCACTATACTTGTGTCCCCAGTGTCCAGCAGTGTCAGGAATCTAGCAGGTCAATAATAAGTTAATTAATACATAATAAACACTTGTGCTTGTTTGAGAACCAGAAAAGGTAATCGATGGTCCCAAATCTCTAGATAGTGAGTATCAGAGCTGGACCCTGAACCCAGGTCTGCCTTCTCCAAACTCCCAAGTGCCTCTTCCACTATCGTCTGGTCGCAGGACAAGCATGAAGGATGACAGGTAGGTAAGTAGGGCAATGCACTGGCACCACATTCTCCCGAGGAGAAAGCACAGAGGCCTCCTGCATGCTGGGGGGCCACCTCTTTCCTTCCCCATCACCCCAGTATAAGCTTTTGGTGGGATATGGACAGAGTCATTCACAATGGGCTGGGATGGATGATCGGTCACCTGTATTTCTTGAGGGGAGGACCAGGATTGATGGGATTACCAAATCCATTTGAGTATTTGAGAGTTCTCCTTGTCATGAATCTGGTTGTGGATTTGCTTGTTTATTCTAATTCTATATATAGAGTCCATAGAAAGATATTTTCTTTGAAAATTTAACCAGTTTAACTCCCCTTTAATTTCAGTATTCACTCATTCATTAAAGGCATTAATTGACAGACAGACAACAGTCTCCAAAACTTGTTTGGCAGACTTCCTTTTTCTTCTCCCTTAAAAAAAAAGATACATTTTGGAAATTCTTCTCAAAGTCATATAAGCACAACAAGAACTGTCAAAAGTTGATAGGGCAAACACTCAAATGGCTCATCACCACAGGGGGTATGTAATAGGCTTATCTGGAGTACCAAATCAGGTAGCCCCCTCCTCACACACAAAAAACTAGAGGTGGTAGAATAAAACACAGTTTTAAAGGCTTTCCTTCAATAATGAACCTCTCAAACTCTAATAAAAGATTCTTTGATAAATATAACCAAAGAGCTAACTCTGTTAAACAAGTCTCTGATTATTATCAACTGAACCACAAAACTGGGAGATGTACGCTTGCCAATAAAGGTATTTATCACTATCGTGGGGGGTGTCTGAAGAAGGGCCTAAATGGAAAGGGAGTCTCTATAAATGGTGGGGTCCTCCACATACTCCTATTTTCAAATGACATTATGTTTTATTTATCAAGATGCATAATGTTATAGGGCCTCCTCAATGAGACTCAGAATTACTCAAAAGCAATCAATTTAATAATCTATAAAGGAAAAAATATGGAGGGAAAATGCCTATTTTTTTTTTGGACTATGCCATGCATTGGATGACCACTGAATATTTAATTTATATCTGAAACAAGTACCTCAGAGGGACAATGAGTTGGGCTAAGGGCATATCCTAAGGTCATGCCTTGCCAAACCCCAATCATGGATAACTCTGACTTTCTGCTGCCTGTCACATGCTGTTCAACTGAGCTGGGAAAAATCATGAAACCATACTGACTGGGTCCACCACAAATTTATGTTACACACATCTCAACTGGGTCCTCCCTTCAACAAGGCAATCCTTTTACACCTGAATCAATTTACTATCCCACATACCACACACTCACCCAAGCAGCTCTTCCAAACCTCCCCCTGCCCCCATCCTCTGCCTCATATTTTACTTTCAACATGAAGCTCTGCTTGATCTGAACTCCCAACACCTTCCACCTCAATCAGTCTCTTCTCCCCATGGACTGGAGAACAGAGCTCTAAACTCCACCCCAAAATTTCCTTCATATAAAGCGAGGATCTGAACTTTCCAGGTAACTGTCCACTTTTCACCAGCAGGTCGGTTTGGTGTGAACTCCACAAAACATGATGCCCTTGGGGCCAGGTATCCCCTGGTTTCTCTCCTTCTCCCATCCTTCTGCCCTCTCCATCTTCCTTAGATTATAAACTCTTTGAGGGCAGGGACTGTCTTCTTCTTATTTGTATCCCCAGCTCTTTAACAAGTCTCTGGCCCATAGTAGGCACTTGATAAATGTTTATTGAGTTGAATATTTCACTGGAAAAATTGAGGACATACATTGAGAACTCCTCAAACTCACAGCACTCAGCTGTCTCCCTCCACTATCTCCTCCTTCACCTCTGTCTCATGGAAGACTTCCTTGCCAAGACAAACTCTTTTTTTTTTAATGGTAATTTTTATTTTTTTGTTTTCAACATTTACTTCCACAAGATTTTGAGTTCCAAATTTTCACCCCATCTCGCCCGTCCCCCCACCCCAAGACGGCATGCATTCTGAATACCCCTTCCCCTAGTCTGCCTTCCCTTTTATCTCTCCCCCCCTTCTCTTATCCCCTTCCCCTTCAATTTTCCTGTAGGTCAGGCTGGATTTCTATACCCCATTTCCTGTATTTCTTATTTCCCAGTTGCATGTGAAAACTTTTTTTTTAAACATGTGTTTTTAAAACTTTGGGTTCCAAATTTTCTCCCTTCCTCCCTCCCCACCCACCCTCCTTGATAAGGCAAGCAACTAAATATAGGTTATATATGTGCAATTATGCAAAACACTTTCATAGTAGACATGCTGTGAAAAACTAATTCTATTTCCCTTAATCCTATCCTGCCCCCCCATTTATTCTGTTCTTTCTTTTGACCCTCTCCCTCCTCAGAATTATTTGCTTCTGATTACCCCCTTTCCCAATCTGCCCTCCTCTCTATCATCCCCTTACTCTTTTGTCCCCTTCCCCCCCATATTTTCCTGTAGGGTAAGACAGATTTCCATGCCCAATTGCGTGTGTATCTTATTCCCTCCTTAAGTCAAATCCTATGAGAATAAGATTCACTCATTCCCTCTCACCTTCCCCCGTTTCCCCTCCACTGTAAGAGCTTTTTCTTTTCTGTTTTTTTTGTGTGAGATAATTTACCCTGTTCTCCTTCTCCTAGTATAATCCTCTCTCACCCCTTCATTTTATTCTCCAGATATGACCCCTTCATTTTCAACTCACCCTGTGCCCTCTATCTATCTATCTATCTATCTATACGTACATATAATTTTTTCCCCTCCAACTACCCTAATACTGACAAAGGTCTCATGAGTTACAAATATCATCTTTCCATGCAGGAATGTAAACAGTTCAACCTTAATAAGTCTCTTATGATTTTCTCTTACCTGTTTACCTCTTCATGTTCTACTTGAGTCTTGTATTTGAGAATCAAATTTTCTATTCAGCTCTGGTCTTTTCATCAAGAATGCTTGAAAGTCCTCTATTTCACTGAATGACCATTTTTTCCCCCTGCAGGATTATACTCAGTTTTGCTGGGTAGGTGATTCTTGGTTGTAATCATATCTCCTTTGCCCTCTGGAATATTATATTCCATGCCCTGTGGTCCCTTAATGTAGAAGCAGCTAAATCTTGTGTTATCCTGATTGTGTTTCCACAATACTTGAATTGTTTCTTTGTGGCTGCTTGTAATATTTTCTCCTTCACCTGGGAACTCTGGAATTTGGCTATAATATTCCTAGGAGTTTTCCTTTGGGGATCTCTTTCAGGAGGAGATCGGTGGATTCTTTCAATTTCTATTTTGCCCTCTGGTTCTAAAATATCAGGGCAGTTTTCCTTGATAATTTCTTGAAAGATGATGTCTAGGCTCTTTTTTTGATCATGGCTTTCAGATAGTCCAACAATTTTTAAATTCTCTCTCCTGGATCTATTTTCCAGGTCAGTTGTTTTTCCAATGAGATATTTCACACTGCTTTCTAATTTTTCATTCTTTTGGATTTGTTTTACAGTATCTTGATTTCTCATAAAGTCACTAGCTTCTAATTGCTCTATTCTAATTTTGATGGAAGTATTTTCTTCAGTAAGCTTTTGGACTTCCTTATCCATTTGGCCAATTTTGCTTTTTAGGGCATTCTTCTCCTCATTGGCTTTTTGGACCTCTTTTGCCATTTAGGTTAGGCTATTTTTTAAGGTGTTATTTTCTTCAGTATTTTTTTGGGTCTCCTTTAGTAAGCTGTTGACTTGTTTTTCATGATTTTCTTGCATCACTCTCAGTTTTTCCTCTACTTTTCTTACTTGCTTCTCAAAATCCCTTTTGAGCTCTTCCAAGGCCTGGGATTGATTCATATTTTTCTTGGAGGCTCTGGATGTAGGAGCTTTGGCTTTGTTGTCTTCTTCTGGTTGTATGTTTTGATTTTCTTTGTCACCAAAGTAAGATAATATAGTCTGACTTTTGTTGCACTGCTTACTCATGATCCCAGCCAATTACTTGAGTTTTAAACTCTTTGTTATGCTAAAAGTCTGCTTCCAATGTGGAGAATGTACTGTCCCAATCTTCGGGGGTTTGTACAGCTGTTTTCAGAGATACTTCTAGGGATCTAAAAATTTTCAGTTCTTCCACGGTGCTATGATAAGGGGCGAGGTGTTTTCTCTCTACCACCACAACAAGCTCCACCACACCAGTGTTCCTCCTTGCCCCAGGACCGCCCCTCAGATCTGTGACCCAGATCCAAGCACCGGTAAAGCAAGAGATTCTTGCCTCAGCACCTCAAAGAGATCCCTGCAATCCCCCTCTGATCAGCCACTTGATTCCCCCTCAGTCTATGGGCCGGAAGCTCAGGAAACAGCCGCGGCCCAGGGCCATGCTCAAGACTTGTGGCTGAGACCTAGCTCTTCTCTCACCGCAGT